CAGTGCCTCAATGCTGGGTATGTTGGACTGGGAGAGGATGTTCCTCTCGGTACACCTGTCCTGCCAGTGGATTTGCAGGATTTTAGAACAGCGCTGCTGGAGATACCTCTCCAGAGACTCAATGTGTCTGCTGTACGTGGTTCATGTTTCTGATATGTACAGGAGGCTGCTTTGTAGACTGTGAGCTTGGTTCTGAGTTTGAGGTCTCAGACTTTGAACACTCTAATCCTCAGGAGTCCAATAGTTGCATTGGTGCATTGGAGTCAATATTGGATTCCATCATCAATGTCACATTATTTATACATTGTTCACACATTGTCAGGCAAAAACGTAATTTTCCGTGTTTGGATTTCAGTTAGCCATGACATGTTGGGCAGCAATGGTTCTCAATATTGACAACCTATGCTGGTACTGGACTTGTACACTTGGTTCAAATAAATTGTCTACATGTAAGCCACAAACTTTCCATTGCTTTACAGTTGTTACTTAACTTCCCAAGTACTTCATCTTTTGTTTTAATTCTGGTTTTCCAAGTATCTACCATTTTCTTCTTTCAAACAGTTGTTTGTCTAGTTTATTCATTCCTCATCCATTCTCCGCTCATCAAAGCTGGCTACTACACCTTTGCAGCACATTTGGCCCTTCTGTATGATTTTAGTTGACTATTGGTTGCAAGCTTTCCATCCATTTAAAAACTGATAAATACCTTTGTGAATTTTCACATTTTTTCATAACTGAAATTAAATTAGTGTATATCGATGTTTTTATAGAACTCTCCACTTTCTGGAAATATGCAATTTTTTTTTGTTTTATGACTTTGCATTCATAGTTAGTTAAGTTAATTTGCCCAGCCTCCAGCTCAGAAATTTCTTAGTCATGGTGTACGAGAATTGTTCTTCAGCCCATCTGTTGAATAAAAGGTGGCCATTTCTTAGAAATCTGTCCAACTGATCTTGTACAAATAAAGCATCATTCCAGGGCCTTTCATAAGATTGTGGCTCATCTGATTTTTACCTCAACTCTACATTGCTGCATACTCCAATGATCTTTTATCTCCTTGATAATCAAGAATCTATCTCCGTCAGCCTTATAAATATTTAAAGATTCTTCATCCACTGTCATTTATGGAAGGGAATTCAAAAGACTCACAGCTTTCTGAAAGAGAAAAAAATCTTCACCTCTGTTTTAAATGGTCAACACCTTATTTTTACACCATGACCCCTAGTTTTAGACTTTCCCACAGAGGAAACATCCTTTCGACATCCACCAAGTCAAGTCCTTTCAGAATCTTACATATTTCGATTTAAGTCATCTCTGATTCTTCTAAACTCCAGAGGATCCAGGCCTAGCTTGTCTAGTTTCTCCCCTTAAGGCAATCCACTCATTCCACGTATTAGTCTAGTAAACCTTCTCTAATCTGCTTCCAATGCATTAACATCCTTCCAGATTTATTAAGTCATGTCCTGACTACCAAAGTCTCTCCACGATTTACAAGTCTCAAGTCACGAGTCTGATAGAATACTCTCCATTTGCCTGCTTGAGTGCGCGGCAAAAACACTTGAAAAGCTTGACAGCATCCATATCAAAACAGCCTGCATGAATCGCACCTATGCACCACTGTAATACTCATTCTCTGTCCACTAGTGATGAACACTGGCTGCGATTTATAAAATCTTCAAGATGCACTGTGCAATTCACCAGTTAAAACTAACTTGCGTTACTTAAAGGCAACAAGTATTTCTTAAAGGAGAGATGCATTCTGTCATGGAGCAGGTGCTACTACTCGTAACTTCTACTAATATTAATAGCTTCATCTCGCCTTCGTACACTTAGCACTGCTGCAAGCCTCACGCACGTATGCCACAGCTTGCACGCAGCCAGCTATTCAATCATAACAATTACATTACTCACACATATTGCACAACATTTGTTGACATACTTCCCTTCCTCGTAAAACAATGTGGCACATGCAGAAGCAGGAGGGGATATCATGGAAGTGAGTATGATTAAGCCAATGCCACTGGTTGGGCTGTAATCATACAGGATGGCAATATTTTCCTATTCAATACTCCTCTTCTGATTTACAAGCTGCAGGTGGTGAAAGTCTGCACTTTTTGTTTCCCTCCCCATAAACTCATCACTACCCTAATTTGAGGCTTTCTCATAACAGATGCCCAAGACCTCCAGTCCAGCCAAGTCATGATAGAAGAGTTGACAACAGTGAAGATGAAGAAACCACAACATCTATGCTTTCACTCTGAGCCATCAGCTTAGATATTGATGTTGCATGTACTTCAGAGGTTGTCTTCAAGCCAGATCTTTATGGTGAGACACTGGCATGAGTGGCATGTAGGCAAAACAGTGTACAAGGATGGCATGGCAACCAACTAATTCAGCTTCCAGTGCAGCACTGCCAAAATCTTTTTCATATCTGGGTGCAGCGTGGAGCAATTGATTGATGTCATGCAAGGTTAAACTTCTGCCACACAAGCTCAGACTGCTCTTTGGAAACTCAGCTTGACTATATAGAATCGTAGAATCCCTACAGTATGGAAGCAGGCTATTTGGCCTATAGAGTCCATACTGCCCTTTAAATTGCATTCCACCCAGACTCGCCCCCCTACCCTATCCCTGTAACTCTGCATTTCTCTTGGCTAATCCACCTACTGTGCAAATCCCTGTACTCTATGGTCAATTTAGCGTGGCCAACCCATCTAACCTGCACATTCTGCTGTTATTATACCTGCAGACACCACTGGGGCTTGCAGACTATTTACAGCAATCCAACAATCGTCCCTCCAGCGAGTTGTTGACATTGCTGAGCCTCCACCCTAAGGATGTTTCAATGGCTCCATGGTGCTCAAACCTATTGTCTTCTCTTAGGACATTGTTGTTTATGCATCCTTTACTGCAACTGCAGCAGTTCCCTGCAATTGCTTGTCAGTGCTGCTGGGAAGGTACAATCTGAAACTGGACTTTCTAGGCTCACAGCAGCTCAGTCTCATCCACATTACATTGTAATACTAGGACAGGTAAAGGCACTTGGAAGACCAACATTTAGGAAATATATATGGGTGATTGTCATTTTGCAAAGAAATGTCATGGTTTGATTTATAAACTTTATCTGGAATATTTATTTTGTGGTGGCTTTAATTTCAGCTTTGTGGCTGAAATGCACAATCTAGAGTAATCCAGGCAGTATAAACACGATTTAAACACTGTTCTTCTGCTCTATTACATTTTGCACAGCAGCATGGCTTTTATTTTATGCTTGCTTCCTTTTTATGTGTGCATGGGAGTCATGAACCAAGTTGTTAAATCGTAGCCCAGCAGTCTCTGCCATGTTGAGTTGGCCATAATGCCATTTGCTTAGTAAAATTGAGCAGATTGAAAGCGTGATGAATATTTCCGGGATATTTGAGCTTTAACCTGCATGATATGCTGCTCCTGGTAAGTCACCAACTGAAGCATGGGAAGTTGGACTCCTTTTGGTTGTGGTACATCTCAGAGTTGTCACATGATGCCCACAATATAATGTATGTACAATGTATGGCCTCCTGCAGCTTGGAGAAGCCTTCAATCTTGGCAAAGCCTCATGTTTACTCCCCATACTGTATTCTGACTGGAGAAAATGAAATGATTTTAACTCTCTTGGAATAGAGAGCTTCAGTGACCTCCCATATGAGGCAATGGACGGCAGACTGGGTGATGTTGCTTATGTCATCGCTTGAAGCCTGGCTGGAGCCAGATTCATAAAGGTTCATGCTCACAGTTATCTTCACAGCTACTGGCAAAGCCAGTTTTGTCCTGCTCTGGGGCTGCAGTTGTGGTTGTGGCAGCTGTCAAGTTTCAATGAGGACATCTTCAGTGAAGCAGAGTAATTTGACAGCATGTTTGAGGCAGAGGTGCAGGTAGAAGAATTGCTCCTTGAGCCACCTGGATTGATGACCTGCTGAGAGCCTTGTTGCACCACCTCCATCTCTTCCTTCGCCTCCTTACAGCAGCTTTCCTGCTCTGTGATGCTACTGTGAACCCTATAGACCTACTGCGCATAGGTGTGGAAGCAAATAATTTAGACAAAATCAGGATAAAGACAGAAAACAGGTTCCACTTGCAAACTTTCAAATATGTAACAAACTGTGAAAACCATCACAAGTACAATGCATACCAGTAAAAATCAATTAGCAATTCACTTGTAGGTAGTTGATAATCCTTTTAAATGGTGTTGGAGGGGAATCCTTCCTGATACGAAATGGTTGTTTAGCTGTGTGTGGTTAAAATATGTTAGCCAGAAACTAACTTCAATTTATACATACAGCCTTAAAAGATGATTGACATCAGGATCTACCTCGTATGCATAATTCTGCTAGATGCTCTTTTTTTAAAACAATAATCATCTGACCAGAATGGTATTTGGTGTAGCTCATACCAATGTGCATATGCTGACCATGGACACTACGGGCAAAATGACACTTGTCCTGAAAATCCTAGGAATGTACTTTAGTATCTTTACGTGCCATTTCTAAGCATGTAAGACATCTCTACACATGTATTTTACAGGGTTACTTATTGTGATTCTGACTGGTGTTTCAAATTGTTGCTCTCATTAACCTTTGCCAGTTAGATTAATTTTAGCAGTTTTACTGCCACCCCAATGAAGATTTACTAAATCCGTAAAGAATAGGAGTGTAACCTGGGAGCTTTTAGAGCTGTGGGATTCAGTTGTGCGCTAGTCTTACCAAGCGAACAAGTAGGAGGACTTATGAAATTTAAATTAGCAGTAGTGGAGTCACTATTTGCATTCAACCAACTCATGACTTCAAATCTTATCATTGTCAATTGCAAAATGGTTTGTGCTTTCAAGTGTTATATAATTAGGATAATTTTACAATTTGTATCTGTATCCATCATGAATTATGATATATTTCTCTTTACAAAAGAAATAATCCGAAAGTAGCAATGAGAATAATTACTGCCCATTTTTTTCTCTTTCCTTATAGCTGATTTTGGAGATTATGGACAGTACGAGTCCCAGGATTTCCTCAGGGAATATGTTTTGTTCCCAATGGTAAGTGAAATGAATACAAGCTATTTGAAATAGATAGGTCATAAATTGTATTGATTAAAGATTCATAGTTATATAATGAAAAATATTTTTATGCCTAACCCTTCCTGGGATCGTAAAAATTCTCAAATGAACACACCTCTATAATGTTGACCCAAAGAGACCCACATTATGTCAATATAGTTCAACATAGTCCTGAAGTTTCGTCGCAAATTAGGATTTCAACAGCAGATGAGCTGAGGTGGGGTGGAGTCGTGTGATGTTATGGAGGTTGGAAGCAAGCAGTCTTCATGATGACATGGGCATGTTGTTGGGAGCTTACCTTGCCATCAAGTATCGGTTGCAATTACTCAACTGATTGAAGAAAGGGCTGGGAAGAGGAAGGAAGTCGTAAACAAAGTTAAAGATGACATGCAATGTTTCTGTGACATTGATTCTTGACCTATCTGTACGTTTGGACAGGATTAGCTATCCTGTCCAGCTCCAATCCCCCTCTAATGTTGTCCAGCTAGATGAGCTTGCTCTCACCTGGTTTCATTCTTAAATAGCCATCATATTAAAAGCATCACTTCCAATGGTTTCTCCTCTTGTTTCCAATTCATTACTTCTGGTGTGACCCAAGGATCTGGTCTCCAAACCTCCCCACCCCAACTGATTCTCAGCTACATTGAAACCCCTCAGTGAGGTCATCTGATAGCATTGTGTAAAAAATATTCACTGATAGTGACCAGCTTTACCATACCACCACCTCTCTCAACTCATCCAATGTTCACATTATCCAATTGCTTATTAGTATTTAGTATTGGAGGAACAGAAATTTTCTCCATTGAAATGTTACTAGAGCTAAAACCATTGTTTTCAATGGACATTCCAACTCTATTTTTTAGTTATCAACTTCATCCCTCTCCCAGGCAAATGTCTGGAAACTAATCCATGCTGTGTTCAATTTTGACGTCATTTTTGACCTCATGAATTTCCAATTTTCACTAAGACTGCCTATTTCTATCTTCTTAACATTGCTTGACTCCCCACCTTTCTCAGCCTATCATTTTTATTTGTATGTGGGATATTAGCATCGCTATTATTGCTGCTGAAACCCTTTAGTTACTACTCATCCAGACAATTACAATGTGCTCCTGCCTTCTGTCCTACATTCCAGCCTGCCCGCATAAGATGTTCCAAAACTCTGTTTCCTAACTCGTACCAAGTCCCATTTACCTTTCACCCCTTCACTTGCTGAGCAACATTGGCTCTTGGTCAAGCAACATAATAGATTCCCTACAGTCTGGAAGCAGGTCATTCAGCCCATTGAGTCCGCTCCAACCCTTCGAAGAGCATGCAACCCAGACTCACCCCTGTACCCAGTCCCTGTATTTCCCATGGCTAATCCATCTAACGTACACATCCCTGGACACTATGGATAATTTAACATGGCTGATCACCGAACCTACACTGTGGGAGGAAACTGGAGCACCCAGAGGAAACCCACGCAAACAATGGGAGAATGTGCATACTCCACACAGACAGTTGTCCAAGGGGCCCCCTCCTGATTTCAGAATTCTCACCCATGTTTTAAAGTTCTTCCATTGTCCAAATGCTCCACATCTCTGTAACTTCCTCCACTCCCAGAACTATCCAAGAAATCTGCACCTGTCTGTGGTCTTTTGAGCTTCTCCAGTTCAATCACTCCACCACTGGTGGAAACTATGGTTTTAGTTGCATCAGCCCTAAGTTCTTAAGTTCACTCTGTACAGCTCTATGCCTTATTTTCTGAATTTAACCCGCTCCTTTTGAAACCTAACTCCTCCACCAGTTCGTTGGTCCTCTGACCCAGCACTACTTTTTGTGACTTGGTATCATATATTTTGTTTCATAATGCTGCTGTGACGCACCTTGGAAGTATCATTACATTAAAGGTGGTATATCAATGCAATGTTGATGTTATGAGCCAAAACTCTCTTAACTCAGGAACCTGCTCACAGTGATTTAATACAGTGGCGTCCAATGCCAGAAAAAAAAACTTAACTGCCTCAAAATATTCTGAATTTTAACTCCATGAACCTGGGAAAATAACTGAGTTTCACATTGTATTGTAGATTGCAGGCTTTGCCTCAAAGACAGAATTGTCTCATATTGTCATGATACATGAATTAATGTTGGCTCATATAAACCAGACTCTTTGAAGAAAGGTCATCATGATTTCTTGGACTGAAGAAATCATTGACCTGCTGACCTACAATCATCAAAGGTATGAACAGAAAGCCAGCTGCCTGTGTTGTGAAATATACTGAGAACAATGAACATTCCCCGGTATTGCTAACTTTTGTCAGGGCTATGGAACCAACAAATAGAAAGAAAATTGCAGATAATTCTCCTTTGAATAAGATTCTAGTACTATTTGGTTATGGGACAGCATTGGGAATGGGGATAGCGTTATGGAAGTGAAGAACACCAGAGAATTACCATGTAAATAAAGCTAACTTTTGATTTAAATAAATGTTGAGCTTCAGACATTTGAAGGAATTTCGCAGTGCAATATTAAAATGCTTAACTCAGTAAATCATGTATTAAAATGTAGTCTAATCTTTTAGGCTCTAGATCATGTTTGTACTTGTACAGATCTTGCGACCTCAGTTGATACATTTGTAAGAAGAACATTTCTAATTACTTAATTTTCGTATTGTACATCATATCAAATAATACTATACAAAAAGAACAGCATTTTGCAACAGTTTTTTCTAGTCCCATCACTGAGTATAGAGTGTACAAGTACACAAATTATGACGCATAGGTACGTGTCATTTTCATGCTTTTTTAACCAAACCTTGTGCTAAGATTTATTTTTAGAGGGATGGAATTCAAAAGCAATGACTTACATTAAACTTGAGCCTAAACCTAGGTTAGCCCATGTCTAGTATATTGGATACATTTCTGGTTGTCATATTATAAAAAAAGATATAGAGAAACTGGAGAGGTTGAAGAATACATTTACAAGAATGATGTCAGAATTGTGGGGATATATCCATCAAGCAAGGATGAACAGGCTGTGTCTGTTTTCTTTAGAATAGACCAAGGTGAAGAGTGACGCAGTTGTGGTTTTTAAAATTTCAAGAGATTTGATAAACTAGATTCAGATATAATGTTTCCACTTGTGGGGAAGAGCAAAGGCAAAGGTCATTAATGAGATAGTCACGAAAAGAAAATGCAATAAAGAATTCAAAAGAAACTCATTTTACTTCAGCATGAGGTCAGTAACTTATGACTCTGTACCCAACCGGGCTTCCTTGACAGCTCATTTGCAGTTGCAATTTTTATTAGCCAATTCTCAGTCTTGGAAAGAAAATGGAATCAGTTGTCGAGACTAGCAACTCAAAGAACTAAAGACTGACACAATTCTTCTGTGGCAGTCAAAGTTAATAATTATGCATTTCAACATTTCAAATGTTTTTAATGACACAGCATCATACTTCAAGTCAATGTGTTCATGTCATGTGTAGTGTTTGTAATGAGGTCAGCCTAGCGGACCTCATAGAATGAGTTTCCTGAGTGGGGCTGTTAATCTGGACCAATCTGGGAGCCCTGCCTGACACACGTAAACAGGAGTGTCAGAGGCTCTGTTCACTCTGAAAGCTGGCTTGGAGGAAGCTGGATCAGTGTCAAGGACTCGCTGTGTTAAATAAAGGGCAACTTGGTGATAGGATACTGGCCTCTGTAAAGTTATTTTAGTGGCAACAAGAAAAAAGCACGCTGCTGAAGAAATTCGCTGACAACAGTCATCTCTGAGTTGGGGTAAGCATTTCTGGCATCATGTCTTTATTTGGGAAGCTTGACTCATTCAATTCTGCCTCAAATATGGGCCTAATATGTGGCCAGAATGTGAGGCATGTGACTTTGGTTTAACCCTTAATGCTGAGAGACTGATCCCACATAACAAACAATGATGTAACCATGCAAAAGTGCATACTAGCTGAAGCCCAACTGGACTTATCATTGGAAAATGCGGCAAGCAAGCATGCGAATTGCAGGGTATTCCAATGGAAGTGGACACCTTGGCCAGTCTGACTGAGCTTGGGGAACACCACTTGACTGAAGGCAAGTGCACAACCTCACTCAGGACATATTCTGAACAGAGGGACGCTAGGTCAGCCCACAGCAAAGCCCTAAAATAAAGCCAAGCCTCAACCAAACAATTAAAATTTTCTTCAGGAGCCGGGTAATGTGTTGTAGTTACTGTCGGTATGTGGACTCAAAACAGCAAGAGTCCTACTAGGCCTAAATTGAGTAAGAGAACGCATTGGTCGGTATCCAGGAGAGTCTGGTTTGGAACAGTTAAATTGCATAGCAACATCCAAATCAGAACCAATCAAAATAAAAATCTGGTTAAATGGTTACCCAGTTCTGATGAAGGTTGATATCGTCACAGCCATGTCAGTAATTGCAAAACCAGTCTTTAACAAAATTCGCTCTGGACTCCAACCCTTAAGTTTGCGCAAGATCTTGCCTAGACTGGGCATCTATACCAGGGAACCATTTACAGATTAAGGGTACAACGCTGGTTCCAGTCTCTTATGAGTTACCACTGATTGTAGTAAAAGGCTCGGGCCCGGGCTTGATAGGGCAAAATTGATTGAGAAAGACTCGCCTTGATTGGCTCAACATTTTTTGATTAGAAAATGGCTGCCTGACTGAAGTCCGAAGTAGAGGCCAGGAATTTCTTCAAGAACATCTTGGGGACTATCAAAGAAGCCAAGGCCATTTTGCATGTTGACCAGAAAGCCTGTCTAGTGCATTTGCCTTGCAGGCAAAAGTAGAGGCAGAAATCAGAAGGCTGGCAAAGCGAAGGAATCGTCAAACCAGTCCAGTTTGCAGAATGGGCAGCACCAGTCGTACCGATTATGAAACCCGATGGGTTGGTTTACCTTTGGGAGGGATTTTAAACAAATGGTAAACAGCTTTTCATGGCTGAATAAATACCCAATCCCTCGCACAGAGGATTTATATGC